ACTCTATGAGACACTTCAGCACTCAGGCATTTACTAATGATGTGCTTCACTTGGATATTGACAAGGTCTGTGATATCCCCAACCTGACTACGGCTTGGGAGACCTTCAGGTACACGTTTCTCCAAATTCTTAACAAACATGCTCCGTTGGTTAGATTTAAAACTAAAGGCAACCGCCCACCATGGTTTGATCCTTTGATTACAAAGCTCATGAAAACTAGGGACAAGGCTTGGGCATGTGCTCAGAAAAGTAATTTGGTCGATGACTGGCTAGAATACAGGATTTTAAGGAATAGATGCATCAAAAAAATACGGCATGCAAAAAATGCCTACTTTTCCTCCACTCTCCTGGAATCACATGGAAATGCCAGGATTTTCTGGAAAACAATCAAATGTATCGAAAAGGCATCCAAAACAGACAATCTGCCCATTGAGCTTAACCGAAATGGGGAATATTATTCAGATCCCAAAAAAATAGTTGACAATTTTAACCTTCATTTTTCTGAAGCTGGTAATCTTTCTGATAATGTATTGGGAGTCACCCCTGCTCGTGCAAATTCCTACACCCCTGTCCAAACATTAAACGAATTTAGTTTCCAGCCAATCCACGAAAGTAATGTTCTGAAACAACTATCCTACCTCAAAGGGTCCTCCTCTACCGGAGCAGATAGTATTCCCGTCTTTGCTCTACTATTGGTCACCTAATATACAAACCTATAGCCCATATTTTCAACCTGTCCATCAAAGAAGCATCAGTTCCTCTAGAATGGAAACATTCCTATGTCCGTCCACTTCACAAAGGGGGCCCTAAATATGATCCAAATAACTACCGACCTATCTCAATTTTGTCCCCGTTGATCAAAATTTTTGAAAAATTATTGACCTACCAAATTAGCAGTTTCCTGTCCACCAACAATCTACTACATATTCTTGGTTCTTTCGGTAAAGTCATATAGAAAGGAAACAATAAAATTATGAAAATATAAAACAATAAAATTCTCACGACGTTTCGACTGCAACACAAGCAATCATCATGTGTGAAAACCACAACAAAATTTTATTGGCCGCTCTCCGGATGACGTGATTGCTAAGCTACAGGGTGATTTCAATAAACGACAACATCAGCTAGTTGCTCTTAAACTAGTCCTGAATACCTCCAAAACCAAGGTGCTATGCTTCTCACCATGACTAAAGCAGGAAGTTATTTTTCACCAATTACATTCCTTAAATAATTATCAAATAGAGCAAGTCAAGATTTATAAGTATCTTGGGGTCATCCTGGATTCAAAACTGAATTTTGAAGATCACATTGATTATATTGGTAAAAAGACAAAAATAAAAATTGGTTTTCTGTATCGGCACAAGCACTGCTTCCCCCCAATGTTCTGTTTGGAATTGATAAAAGCTACCATACTGCCTCTACTTGACTACTGTGACATCGTGTATAAATCAGCCCCAAGTACTGTACTGAAGAAACTTGATTACATCTATCACTCGGCCTTAAGATTTACATTGAACTGCCCATATAGGACTCACCACTGTGATCTCTACATTGGGTCAAACTTAACATCTCTTAATGTTCGACGGCTTGTGCACCAGATCTTATTTATTCACAATGTACTTACAACAAAATCCGCAGACTACCTGCTGGATCTCCTCTCTGTTTCAAAGAACAAATTTGACCTCAGTTCTTCGCTCATTTACCAGCTTCACATTCCCTATTGCCGTACAAAAACTGGAGGAAGGGCCTTTGCTATTGATACCCCCAGGGTCTGAAAAGCTATTGCCAATAAACTGCAACTTGAATCGCTACCAATGAGATCTTCTCTCAAGAGGAGTTGTTCACCCCTAGCTGCCACTGCTATTCATTGGCGTAAAATAAAATAAAATGTTTCGCTCCGGATGACACTGCAAAGTATTATCTGTATTTTGATTTAGCGTGCTGATCTTAAAGTTGCATTGAAAAATTTGATACTCCGACTGATGCTTCTGTTGTTGTGGAGTAATGTTGGGGCCGCTGTCCCCCGTCTCCTCAGTCACGATTGTGCTACTGCTCCCCGACTGCTCTGTCGGGTTCGGGCTACTGCCCCCCCCAATTCCTCGCTCCCCTGTACCCCCGACTTTGCTGCTGCCCCCCGCGTATTCATTATTCAATTGGTGGGACCGACCGCTTTACGCTTACGACGCGCTACGCGGGCTCAGTGGCGGACGTGCTGCGGTGAGCGCGCCCGCGAAGTAAAACCCCGTCTCGTGCGTAAACAAAAGGGTACAGCGCGCCGATGCGTGACTCCGCGGCCGCACCGAGCGCCCACGCACGGGACTCGAGGTCGGGGGTCAGAAGGCAGGTGGCGTCCACCGTGCGCGCGCCGCTGATTGGAGGGAGGCACTCCGCCCCGATTTAAAGGCCGTTTAAACAGCCACGCGTGTACGCGAACACCAGATGCTACACCCTCCTCTTCGCTGTAAACAGCCGCGCATGCACGCGGACACAAGGCACTCCACCCTCCTCTTCATACTCACAAAGACCACACGACACAGTTTATCCTCTACTGGCGATTTTATTCCCCGCGAATAACCCGCTAAACTACGCGTGTTTGTGTGGGTCAGCAGACACTAACTAGCCTATCCCTCGGGGATCCTGGACTCAATTTATCCTGCCTGTCGCTCCACTTTCTACCCTCTAATTAGCCCAAACTCACCTCTCCCTTACTTACGCTTACTCCCAATCTGAAACGCCGGAAGCTGTGGAAGGGCGATGCTGTGCGTCGTCTCTTTGGAGAATTGGGCCTGGCTCCGTTGAACCTCGTCACACGGACGACCCGAATGGCTGGCTCCAGCACCCCGCTGATCTCGATGCCTTGAAGAACTCCCTCGTCACTCCCTGGTTCACCCTCTTTTATCGTCCTCGCTCACATCAAAGGGCACCGCGCAGCGCCGCCCCCCTGGCCTCCCGTCCAATCAGGGGTCCGGATTTTCCCGCTCTTTTGATAGTCGGATCCTAGTCATCGCAGTGGTCCCCTCGACGTCCGCTTTCTGCTCTTCCCGCGACCGGGATTTTCCCGCTCTTTTGATATTCGGATTCTAGCTCTGCTGACGTCACCGCAGTGGTCCCCTTGACGTCCGCTTTCTGTTCTTCCCGCTACCAGCCCACTGACCCGTGTTGCGTGTGCGCGTTTCCATCCGCGGTGGCTCAACAGCCCCTGCCGTGATGATGCAATTACAATCCCAGGTCACGGCGCCGCGGTGCCCGTCAGCCTCGGGGGTAGGTCGCCCAATTCCCCGGCCGATGGAAACCATGAAGCTTGATCCCATTAGGGGCTTCTGGGCGAAACCCCGCCGGCCAGGTGACCTCCCCCCGGGCTCTATGTGGGGTGTGCGTGTGTTCATGTGGGGGGGCGGCGAGGGGCGCGCAGCGTCGGCGTCGTCGCTCCCCGGTGGTGGCGTCACGGCGGTGGGCACGGCCCCGACGGAGCGGCTCCGCTGCGGCGGCACCACAGTAACTCATGCAGCCAGCTATGGCTCTAGGATTTGGTGTTACATGTTATTTATGTAGTTTATTGTAAAAATTCGGTCACAGTCCCTGTGATCACTGTTACGTTGCAATTATGGATTTATTTATTGGTGATTTCGAAAACGTTTTTTTTGGTTTGGACATGTTTGTTTTGTTGTAGTACGGAGTTAGACTGATGGCCTTAATCTAAGTTTTCTTGTGGTTATTGTTGTTGTTTGACTTGCATCCCACTGGGATTTTTTGCACACAGCATTGGTGTACGGTGCTTTTATGAGGAATATTTTTGCTGTTTTTTTCATGGATTTTCTGTTTGCACATTCACATAGTCACTTTAAGATGTTTTTCTTGTTCGTGTTTTTGTTTGTTGTGGTTGCACCCGATTAAAGAGCCGAATGGCTCACAGGGCTATACCAAAATAAATCAAACTGAAAACCTAAATCAATGACGTCACACTCAACATAAGCCAGCGGCGACGTGATCAAGCAGCTGCAGAGCCTCGCAAATTACTTTCAGAAAATGCCACACGTTGCCTAAATACTGCACTTGAGTTAAATTGGTCAAGGCGGATAATGGGGCTCTCGGATATGCGACATACTGAACACAAATACTACTGTACTGTATTACTTAAGGCCATGCCATTCTAATGGATGTTTCGTCGTCTTCCTCTGCCGTTGATCGCCGTGATTCGTTCATTCTCACGGATCACGAGTCCCTCCGGTAAGACGCGCTACAAACGTGTTATCGGTTTTCACGTTCAAGTTTATTGAGTTTAGCCAAGTGAGAACTTTAAGAGACAATGATGGTCGCATTCGCAAGAGTCACCTGGATAATACAATTATATATCTGGTCTCACATACATACTGTATATAAAATATGCACTCAAGTCTGGTATTTAAATACCGGTGGGAGGATTAAGTGCGTCGTATAATCCGGAGAATACAGCAAAAGTGAACCACGCGTGGGAGAGCCCTAAGTTCGTAGAGGCGGGGGTGGGTCACCGTGGTCGCGACGCACGATGTGACCTCATTACGCATGCCCCAAAGACGTCACCACGTAAGCTCTGCGTACATCACCACGTAATCCCACGGTGTCCCTCGCAAGTCCCCGTTTACGTCACCACGCAAGTCCCCGCGTACGTCATCACGCAAGCCCCCCGTGTACGTCACCACGCAAGCCCCTGTTTACATCACCTCGCAAGCCCCCGTTTACGTCACCACGCAAGCCCCGCCGTCTCTCAAGGGCACGGTTCTGGGGACGGGGGAACGTGACCGGGGGGCGGTGGTGGTGGGGGGGGTTAGGGGGGGGGAGGAGACACGCGCCAGAGGGGGGAGGAGACACGCGCCAGAGGGGGGAGGAGACACGCGCGAGAGGGGGGAGGAGACACGCGCGAGAGGGGGGAGGAGACACGCGCGAGAGGGGGGAGGAGACACGCGCCAGAAGGGGGAGGAGACACGCGTCAGAGGGGGGAGGAGACACGCGCCAGAAGGGGGAGGAGACACGCGCCAGAGGCGTCTCCCTTCGACCGCGACGTCGACGTCGCCTCTTCGCCTAAAAGGCGGCGCCGGGGAGCCGCTTTCTCGTCCCCACCGAGCTTGGTCGGCCCCGTGGAGGAGGACCGCCTCGACTCTGCCCACCGTCGGCGTCCGCGTGGCTTTGACCGGTGAGCGGCGACCAGCGTTGACGGGCCGAGCTTCGCGAGCCATCGGCCTGAGGCGGCGTTTCGGGTTATGGGGTAACCCGAGTGGGTTACTCCATGCGCCTAGTAACAGCAGAGACGTTATCTCTATTGACGGGGGGGCCCCCCTTTCTGACGGCGGGGCCCCTTTGAGGGTGTCGTTGACAAGGGGGGGGTTGCGACGGACGACGCCGGCAATCGACGTTACGTGATGAGCAACAATTATTGCCGTGGAACACGATGGTAATCGGCACTTTATAGGGTGTTGTATTACGGTGTGTTCATATTTGTAGGTGTCAGTGTTCTAAAAATACCGCGATTATTTTCTCCCATGTAACTTTCCATTGTGGTATTTGAGAAATTCGAGTGCAGTATTTAGCAAAATGGCTCGAGGTGTAACAGTGGATGATAGGTTAGAAATTAGTAAAGAATTCGGTTGTCGCGTGACCCAATTCACCCGTGGCTTTTTTCTACTATTTCAAATGATCTGTTTAAACCCCTGCTGTTAATTTAATTTGCATATATTTCAGCATTGACGTTGCAGAAATGTCTCTTAAGATGTTGCTCTTACCCATGTGCCTAGTAACAGCAGAGACGTTATCTCTATTCTCTCAATACCACAACAGTGGCTTTTAAACCCACCCTAAAAAGGAGGCCACAACACACATTTGTGAACATTTCCTTTTAAGAATTTAGGTTTTTTTTGTTATCGTGTGACCTTTTTAAAAAAACGCTGTGGGTGATTACTGTTGTACTTGCACGTGTGGATAAATGATTGAACGATACGAAAAAAGCTTATGTGGCTGTTGTTGTGCTTTGAACGTTGCACGACTGCCCAGAGCACCCCGTGTAATGGATGTGTCTACGTGGTGAGCGCGCTCCCTACAATGGCCGCTCGCCGGCTTTATCACCACCCCCTCTGGGATGAGTGAAGGTGGTTGTGTGATGTGTGTGGTTGTGTGTGATGTGTGTGATGTGTGTGGTTGTGTGATGTGGGGAGCGCTGCACTACGAACCTGGCGACCCGGGTTCGATTCCCGCTCACGGCGAACACCGGTGACGATTATCTAAAACCGGTCATGGGCCTCCCCTAGGTCGACTCGGCCTCAAATGAGTACCTGGTGTGATGTGTAAACATCGCCGCTAGGGAGACAAAGGCGGCCGGGCGTGGTGTTGGCCACCCACCCCGTCGTGTGCCGTGCCGGCCTTTTATAGGTGCTCGCTAACAGCACTTGCCCCCTACAGTCTGTTAAGGCTACACGGGGGGGGGGGGGGGGGGGTCTTTGTGTGGTTGTGTGCGCGCTACGCTACGAACCCAGCGAGCCGAGTTCGATTTCTGCTCACGGTCAACACCGGTGACGATTATCTGAACCCGGTCCTGGGCCTCCCTCCCCCCTAGGTCGACTCGGCCTCAAATGAGTACCTAATGCGGTGCGTAAAAAAACATCGCCACTGGGGAGACAAAGGTGGTCGAGCGTGGTGCTGACCTTGTGTGCCGTGCCGTTCTTCATAGGCCCTCGCTAACAGCACTTTGTCTTTGTAATGTGTTTCACATGCATGAGTATGCATCATCAGTCATCATCACCGTGATGATGACTGATGATGTATACGCACATCCCGATTAGTATGGTCGGGCCACGTACTGTGCGAAAGAAGTTCAGCGTGCACACCGTCAGCCATGGTCAGTCCACTGCTGGATGAAGGCCTCACGTATCCACTACCGCTGCCATTTACGCACGATCCTACGTACATCGTACGATGTAACAATTCGCCTGTGGGATCCTGACATCATCGCGTCCTCGATGGACTGCATTGTTGAGAATCGCAGAAAATCACTCTGGTCGTCTGTGTCGGTCTATGCCAGCACTCAATTTAGTCATTGCTGACGAGTTTCATTCCTTGGCTAAACACACCTGTAATGCATTATTCAGTCTCGTGATGTTCCTGTCCATGCGAGCACTTTAAGTTTGAACCAAGTCGTTTAAACCTGCATGTGTTCTGAATTATTCTGTTTATTCCTCTGCCGGATTGGCGGAATAACGTCGGCGGATAATAGTTGTCCTTCAAAATGTAGAGCAAGAATATCGTCTTACTAGTGGCCTTGTGTTTCCGTGTGCTTTGCACATCACTGCCAGCAGTGTCCCATTATTTTTACGTTTCTATTGACAAGTAGAACATTTAGTTTTTTTGCATCAGTGGCTAACAAACTAAACACAAGCACGTTATACGTTATCTGGACAAAGTACAAAGTCCCCACGGTGAATGTGTAATATATTAGAATTGTGCCGTATTGCGATTTATTGTAAAAGGGCCGTTCGATTCAGTCGGGCATGTATAGTAAAGTTGTGCAGGTGGGGTTATTAAATATATGCATACGGTGTAGTCTTTTGCATACTACCGTAGTCTCTGTATTATCGGACGCTTTGCAAAGTAAAACTGAACCCCAAACTTGTGCCCGGTGTCAATAAAGTTAGACCGATCTGGTCACCCACACGTACTAGATTATAAGACGCACCCACAACTTTTTCTTTAAAACACAGAGCAAATATATGATGGCTTTTTTTACCTGCCTAGCCTGAATGTGAATAATTGCTTAACTTCAGATCATAGACCAGACAGCACTTTTTAGTCAATATATAGGACACAAAGCCATAAACATAAGATAAGTCAATCATTTCTGGTCCCAAGAGTGCCAAATGAGATTCGCTGCGTTAAGCATTATCCTCTTAACTTTTCCGGTGCTTTCACTTTTGCAGGTAACAGCAAGAATGAGTTCCAATCCTGTCGCCTCTCTCAAGGAGAGATGTCTGAAAGCCCAGAGTCAGATTCAAGCAGCCATCGGTGATGTGTCAACGACACAGCAGCAACTTCGGGGAAACGTACAGCACGTGAGTACAACACGCTAGATAATAATTTCGCAACCTTGTCAAGTGTTCACGAGCACTTAAGGTGTACTACCGAACATAATGTAAAAACAATGCTAATACTTTGTTGCAGCTTGTCAATCCACTGCTGCATTTAACCCTTCCCAAGCTGTATTGGCCATGGGGGTTGTTAAAGCTTCACGCTCTTTTTGTTGAGGGTTGGCGAAACGAGCGACCTGAGAACTGGTTCAGATATTACTTGTCACTGACGTTAGCTGTGTTCGGGAATTGAACTTGTGTGGCCAGATTCGTCGTATGGGGTGAAATCTGTCCCTTTATATTTACCCAAAAGTGTCGCTGTTAAGGTGGGAATGTGTAGAGAACGAGTCTCGACTGTGGGAACTCGGCCGTATGTACGTGATGAAAAGATACGTTTATCGCTGGTCTAACTTGGTTCTTGACACCAGAGAATATGGGAGAGTTTAGCTGTTTCTCCATGTATGGAGGAGGGTGGTGTTTCCCGATAATGCACAGGGAAATCACCACAGCTGACATTTATTTTTGAAATTATAACATTGGACTTTCCCACGCAGTTCATTTGGATAATATTTATTTGAACCAAAATTTCCCTTAAAATAACATTGTGGTCTCCATGGGCTCTCACTTGGTTATAAAGGTCATCTATCGGTACATTAATATATTCTGATAGCTTATGTCAATGTCGAAGAGGCCATCACAACTCTCATGGGATATTATATTCTTTACTGCAAACCCATAATGCACACTAACTACTTTTTTGTCAGGTGTAGATAGACTATTTGAGGTCTACCTATATACCCTTTGGGAGTAGAATGGTGGTTTGTGAATTGTGCATATAACACTGTTACCTGAGTTTGATTCTTGGTCATAACAAATACCTTGGTGGTGAGTGATATCTGGCCCAGTCCTAGGCACCTACTCCCATTGACCAGCATGGCAAAGTATGGTCTTACAAACCCCCCATGGCTGATTTGCCATGAGGAGGGCCTTGCTCCAGCAGTGGATTAACAAAGGTCCTGTATATTACATGACCATGGTTAACGAGTAAATAATGAGTTGCCAGAAAAAATGGGAAAACCTATTCTCATATTTTGGGACTGGCAAAGAAGGTCTCATGATGTAGCTGCTCACACCGAGCTCTCATTACTCTGATTGTGCTGTTCGCCTTTTGGCGTCCTCTGGTCTAACACCGTTTTGAGACTAGGCTCAAAAGAAAGCTGTCTCTGGTGTGGACCAATCAGTTTCAAGGACAATGCATATATTATCAGAGTGTTTTTTGTTTGCATTCTGACCACAAGTATTGTGGTTAATGCAGACATGATTCCTTGTTAAAGGTTTCAGTTTGGTGTTCTAACATCTTAACACCTGTTTGTTGCCAGAAAAAAAGGGGAAAACCTATTCTCAATAATAAGTGCAAACCCGAATTCAATGCCACCTGGCTTACATTGAATAAAATGCCAAAATTAAAACCATTCTATAACATGACATGCCATATGAATTGTAATCGTGGCAGCGGGAGTTGTCACAACTTGTGTATCAAATGTTGAAATGTATGAGTAAAAGGGTGTATTTGTGTGGTTCTGTTTGTGCGTCAGGTGAGGGCTCAGATCCACAACTGCCTGAGCCGGCAGCTGGAGTCACTGCGCAGCCGAGAGGTGTGGTTGCTGGAGCAGACCGAGGTGGTTCAACAGGTGAAGGAGGAGGCGCTGGACAATCAGCTGCAGCAGCTCAACCAGGTACCAGAGCAAGGCGATGCAGCACATGGAAAATGGGGGAAGTGAAGCACGGGCTGCCTTCTTCCTGGAATTTTTCCCAGTTATGTGGGGTCTACCCTCCAGGTCATTTTTTTGTATCCACCCATTCCTGTCAAGGGCTATCTCCATGTACACTCCACAGTCCCCTTTCCATTCCTTCACATCCTGCTTCACCATTGCTCACCACCTATTTCTAGGACTGCCTCTCGGTCTGCCCTGGTGCTTCCACATTCATCACCTTCCGATATGTCTGAGAATGGGTAACCACTTGCTTCCTTCCTCATCTCTTCATTGCTGACCCTGTCCAGTTTTGTGATCCCGGAGATCCATCGCGTCATCCTCATTCATGTGGTGCACCGCTCTCTTTACGTTATTTTAACCCTAAGATGCAGCACTAAAATACTCGACTTTGTTCCAGTGAACAGCACTGGAAGACCTATTCAAGCAATAATGAAAATTTGCTCACAATGTATTTAGATCCCTTCATGCAAAAAGATGTGTTGTATAAGGTCATACAACAGCTTATACGCAAGCTTACCAGAGACATCATCCAGATGGGTCTATTTGTATGTATGTAGAACTTCCTTTTCACCGTACGTAACCAACGGTGCTAATCAAGGCTGTGTCGTGAGAGTTAAATTCCCCCCTGCTTTGTATCGGAGGGTAAAATTCAAGCTGTTTTGCCAACTGGTATGGTAAAACCACATGGATGTCTAAACATAACTCTATTCAAATTGTTAGTGGGTGGTTACGTATAACCCAAATTGAAATTTGGGCAGTATTTCAATTATTATGTTTCACATGACTTGTAGTTGTATTTATGACAACACTGGCTATGGGAGTTTACAAAATTGGCTTTCAAAGCTATATGATAGAGCTAATATTAGATTCTTGCTCACATGTTTTTAAGTAATATCAAGTAAGTATTTAATTGGACGAGCATAACTGGTTGGTCGAGTGACCCATTTTCTCAAATCCTCACATTTGCGCGTGTCCTGGAAATGTTACTACCAAAAATAATCAAATGTCACGGAATAATATCGTCGTTATTTTCTTTCAGCTGTAATTGATCATTCTAAACTCTAGCATATTATTAAACACCGCTTTCTGAACATAAAACTGCCCACACAAAAACTGTGCCTTGCATTGCAAATTTGTTGGCGTTTAGTGGCATTATGCCACGGACATATGTTGCCACAGTAAATGTGAAGCAATAGCTGTTCTTTGCCAATGGGTGTGCTGGCCAGAGATTGCTGTTCTTATCATTGCTAAGACGTCCATCGTTGTGCAATTAAGCATCTTTACAGTAGTCTTGAAATTCGAGTTACTGTAGTGAATGCCTTCTTGCCTTGCAAAGTTTTGTATACTTGTGTACAGGTACAGCAGACACGATTACATAATGGAGCATTAGCACTGCACGGTGACCCTATATACTTTCGTGCAGTCTAGCTAGGCAGTGAAGTTGAGCGTACAACGTTTATAGCAGTATCGTGTGGTGCCGCTCTTGCATCACTATTCTGCCTTCGGACTGGCCACATGTTCAGCTTCTTTTGTTCCTACATAGCAGATATTCCTACCGCTACCTTTTTTCCTTGTTTCGGGCTTAGTCAACCTAGGTATCCCACACACTTTTGAAATGAATATTTTCACAAGTGCCACGTGGCACTGAATGTGGACCAGAGCACAGCGGGCTGCAGGAGAGGAGATGGACCACTTTGGCATCGCTTCCTAACCAAACCGCACATGCGCATGCAAATACCACTTCTACAGAAAAAACAAACTGTCTGAATTGTTATATTCTTGAGGTGCTGAGATATGTGTCGTGATTAGCACCCTAAACCTATAAACCAGAGATTACCTGAGTTTGATTCCAAATCTTGGCTAACATCAGTGAGGAGTGGTGTCTAAACTGGTTCTGGGCCACCAACCCCTGTGGTGAAGTATGGCTAAAAAACCCATGCAGGATAGTACATCTTCATCCAGCAGTGGATAATGTAATGAGAAGCAACATGTGGGGGTACTCCACATCTTCCAAGACCTCTGGCTCGTGTGAAAGAGTCGGCCAAAGGGGCTCTCTATGCTCCCTCTTAGTGGGAGACCCTTCCACAGCTGTGGTATGAGCAAGCAATTGCAGGGCTGTGCCTTTACCTTTTTTTACCAGGTGCTGGGATGGCTGCAGTGTCTGCTCAAGCAACAGGAGGCTTTGCAGTACCCAGACCCCCATCTGAACCTCCAGATCGCCGAGTGCCTGCAGAGGTAAGAAGACCATGCATACCCATACGCACATTGTTGCTCTCTTCAGCTTTGGCCTATTGATATGGGTTTATCATCTTGTAAGGTTCATGTAACCACTGCATGTTCACGTGTGTGCAGGTGTAGCAGCCTCAACCTGAATGTCGAGGAGACAGATGCCATAGGTTTTGTAGCAGATGCTGCAGCCTTGAGAAAGGCTATCACCACGTTTGGGAACATCATCACACAGGTGTGAATAATCACCGGCCGTGACTTTTATTTGTTGATTTTGTAATTTTGGTGCACAAGGTTACTCGGGGGGAAAATTAGACCCATCCTGATGTCTTGAGTTTCTTGTCTAGTCAATCAAAATAAACCTGGACTATCCACTGCCGAATGAAGGCTTCCACCAAGTCGCTGCCATCGATCACTGTCTCACAGGGCAATGCGGTTACCTGCTGCACTTGAGACAATTCCATTGCTGCAATTCCTGTCGTGGACGTTGCCTCGGGCGCGTTTTCTCCTTTGGCTGCCACTCCATCGTTGGTCTCAGCAAGTGGCTGTTATCCTTCATAGCAACGAGTCCAAGGCCGCTTTTCTTAAGTGCCAAATATATAATGTCTTTAACCTGCATATGTTATCTGCTCCATGTGGTGTTGCTCTTTTTGTCGCATTGCAACTCCAAATATGCACCTGCATTCTTCTTTGCACACTTTTGGAACATGTTTTCAAATTTCAGTTAGTCGGTCCCATGTCATCTGATCCATGTGTTAATAGCAGGCAACATACATTGTTTAAAAACATTATTATTCAAGCACATTGCTTGCCATTATTAAGGTATGAACATACATTACCCAATGTAAATTAAGTAAACTTTACTTTGCTGGGGAGGGGTATTATAGGTCAGAAAATAAAACACCTGTGGTTCAGAGGTCATTCTAAATCCAGATTGCAAAATTGTAATTGCAGTTTTTGGTCCAAGAGTACACATGGGTATGCCACAGTGGATTGGCAGGTGTAGTGGGGTAAAGTGTGGGTACTTCCACCTCTTTTCAGACATCTGGCCATTGTGGAAGAGAAGGCTGAAATAGCCTTCGGTGGGGTTCTCGGGCGCTGCCTCACGTGGAGACCCTTCTGTCAGCAGTGGTGTGAACAAGGAATTGCAGGGCTGCATCTTAACGTGTTCTCTTTGATTCAACAGGGAGAGTACCCCACCAGCCGCTACAGTGCCTGTCCCATACTGGAGCAGCTTTCTTCTGTTGCACATTTCAAGGAGCCTTCTGCATTGCAGGTAAAATAATTTGTAATTGTTGTTTTTTATGTTCTTCAATTTAGACGGGGGCCCAGCCTATGCCAACAGTGGAGGAGTGGGGGGGGGGCATGGAAGTAAAGGGGGAGCACAGGCTGCAGCATGGATACTGTGCAGGATAAATGTTGCATGTTCACAGGGACCGTCAACGCCACGTTGCGACGATAAAACGCACTAATACACACGCGCTGCTACGACGCTTTTGATGCGTTCACAGAAGTCTTCGCTCCGCAATGAGGCTCCCAACGATTGGCTTCTGAGAGCCACCTCCAGCGCGGCTGCACTGCCCCCCACGATTACATTCCACTCCCCAAGCAAGAACATGACTGACTGGCTGTTCAAAGGAAGTGCCACTATGGAAGAAACAAACGAGGTGTGTAATTACGCACACGTGCCGAAGCCAAGGTGCCGTTGATGAAATTGTACAATGTTAGACGTAGGACAATGCCACACGGGTTTGTAACTTCAGGGTAACGTGGGACGTGCTGTGACACACGGGATCGCTGTTATCACAGGGGTGGGGGGCGAACCGCTTCCTTACCGAAGGATGACTAGGACGTTCAAATACCTTTTTGGCAGGTAATTGTGCATTTACACGGACCTTTTTTTTGCAATGTCATTAACTTGAGTAAATGGATGACGCTTCATTGAAATTTTGGGTAAAACGGCTCGCTGTTCTGCTTTCATCTTAACACACAATACTGTAGACACAACTTTCTCAAATGTTTCCATGTATTTATCATCATGCACCATAGTTTTGTCCTAATAAAATTATGTCACACCTGAACCAGGTGACTGAGCGTGCTAAATCAGACTGTTGGCAGGCGGAAAATATTCCCTTCTAGTCCCCGATTTTACAGATCTCCCTCGCTTTTATGCAGATTCGGTTTGAGCGATTTTTGCAACACGATGCGGTTTAAATTCACTCCTGCGGCTATGCGGTTGGATGTGGGACAACTTTGTGCGCGCACTACTGTGTGCGCTACTCGGCAGGCAGCTGTGTCGTGCCGTTTCACTTTATGCGCCCTTTTTCTTTGAAACTCGTCTATTTATTACGGTTGGCTACGTACGGTGCGATTTAGAAGTTTCACATACATAATCTATGAAGCGAGGGAAACCTGTTTTGTGGCTAAGATGCTTGCATTGACCGATTTGATGTTGTTTTCTGCTTTGTTTCGACGTGGGCTAGATGAAACGAAGTTACAGGCTGTAGGATCCTCACCCCTGCTCTGATATGTGATTTTTATTTATTTATTATTACGCGTCATCGTTTTAGTTAACAAATGTAACTTTTTCTGTGCAGAGTACAACATGCAGATCGACCCCTGCTGAAAAAGAGGTGAAAAACAATCTGCTGAAGATACAAGACCAGGCCCCAAACATTCACGCAAACCACACACGCGCCATGTCCACCTCATCTACCTTTGAAATATTGGACGCCCTGTCCGAAGACGATATAATCACTGACAACAAAGGAGAAAATGAAGAGATGGTGGAGCTTTCGGCCTTCTACAAGGTGTCGGATATCAACACGTGGCTGCTGAAGCCTTCCCAACACAAGTCCGCCGGCATCCACAACTCCCCCATCGACGAAGCTACTCGCAATAGCTGGGAGGCCGTGTTGAAGCCATTCACGGCCACTTATGCCTTCGAGGATTGGCTGCGGAAGCCTCAGCCAGACCCCTGTTCCGGTTGCTGCGCCGGTATGCCCATCGCACCCAAGCCCGTGGAGATTGAAAACCTGGCGAGCCTCTGGTGTATGGCCGACAAGGCAGTAGAGGACGAGCGCCTGCCCTATCAGAGCTGGCTGCTGCAGCAGGCGGCCCCTCGCGTCCAGCCCGCGGAAGGGTTCCACGGGGAGAAGTTCGGAGGGCAGCAGCAGAAGCAGCAGCAAGAGTGGCTCGCCTGTGCCCGCCCCGCCCCGGAGCTGAGCGTGCGTAAGGCGTGCAAGGCCAACGAGCCCTGCGCCAGCTTCGCCGAGTGCGTGTGCGAGGGAAGCTGCAAGCGTGAGGCCCTGAGCAAGTGGCTGCTGGGACAGGAGGGCCGCGACAAAAACGGCAGTGTCGTCGTCGTCGCACCGCACAGCGAAAAAGCCAGAGATGAGCACCACGGGGTGGAGAAGTCCATGGCTGAGGTGAACGTCTCGGAGAAGAAGTCGCAGAGCGAGCAGCCTCCCGGTCCCGCTGTGCTCAAGGAGGGAGGGAGGGATGACCTGAAAGCGCAGTGGCTTCACCCACGCCAGCCGCGCCTCGTGCAGGAAGTGCAGTCCTCTCTCAAGCCGCCACTCAGCCGGGGGATGGAGAAGGCCATGACCGCCTCCATCGCAAACTGGCTGCTGGCCACGCAGTGTGCAGCGAGGGATGTGGCGGCGGTGGCGCCGCCGGGGTTCAAGTGTGTGGAGCTGCCGCACGGTGGGCCGTGCGACAATGCCAAGTGGATCCTCGCGCGAGAGTGCAGCTCTTACAACAGCAGCAGCGGCGGCGTTGGTAGCTCCCCAGAGATTGCTCACCTTCGCCAGGACACGGACAAGTGGCTTCTAAAGAAGCGCTCCTACGTAAGGGCCTGGTCACTGCTTGTTTCTGCCGTGTAGCCGCCGTTGTGTTTTTCTTATCGCGGGTTGTTCGGCATGCCCGACGTTTCTCCGAGTGTCGCAAGCTGACTCTCCCCAGCACGCGGAGCGAAACTTCGGACATTGTGCCAAAACGACACGCAATTAACCCAAAAAAACGCAACGGAGAGCTATGTGTCCGCGTCAATGATAAGAAAGTTTCTCCAAAGAAAGTACCGCTTGATAGAAGCATATGTACATGAAATATGTTCTAACGCTTAATTTTTCTTGCTGTGTTTTAGGAAGAGAAAGAAATGCACACGTTTTGTGACGTCTTCTCAAAGATGAACACTGAGGATGAACCTCCGTACAAAAAATGGCTTCTCTACTCTCAGGTTTGTATTTTCTCGTCATCTATTTTAATTGGAGCCTTACAACATGAAATCTCTCCTTAAACGGTCATGTTTGATAGAACAAATGCAATGATTGTTCATGAATATTATGTTAAACAACTCTATTTGCAGACACTGGTGTGAAAAGTTGGACGTGTGCGTGTGTTGTCTTGACCCAAGAATTTTGTTTGTTCACAGATGTGAATTTCTACCAAGAACAGCACTTTCTTGCCAATGGCCTCTTTATGAAAACCTTAATCGTTTAGAAACTAAACAAAATTGTAGGCCATCATACATGTTGATGGTGGTTAACTCCTAATGGGCATTAACCTTTTTTTATAGAGGTTCCTGATTTTATTTTCAAGGTGGTGCATCCATAAACTCCTCCAAAGCCGAATGAGACTGCGTTCGTTCATGCACTTATTGCTCGTGGGCTAAAACATTTTTGAAACCTAATTTTGAAACGGCTTTTACAATGCCCGAATTCTGCAGGAATCTTTCTACCAGAAAGTTCTTGCTTTGAATTGATTTTACAGTTGCAATCGCTAATATGCATTACTGCAAATTAATAACCATAGTAATTTCCATGATCGTTTGTGATGTGGGATATTTTGGAAATTTCCTTGTGATGAACATCTTGCTAAAATCGTTTTTGAACGACCGAGCCCATTAATTGATACTTTAGTATAACTTTAATGATATTACTGCACCACTATTTTAAAATGACACCTTAATCTCCAGAAATATTTGCTTGTACGCTTAATACCCGAGGAGCTAAGGGTAAGCATTATACTTTACTCAGTGCAATTCATGCAATGTAACATTTCCATAAAATGCAGATTTTATCGTAATAAATTCACGTGAAAGCACCCTTTGTCATATACGTCTGTTTTATTTTACAATGAGACTTCGCTTACATGGAGACATTTTGTTGTGGCCAATTTACTCGACAAAGATTCAAAATATTGGAGGGGGGGGGGGGGAGAATGTAATTGTGATTAAAAGTTAAGTTGACCATAACTTATAGATTACAAACTGAGTGTGGGGTTATACAAAATCGAAACTTGTCTGAATGCCAAGGGGGGAAAAATTAAAAAACTTCCAGCACAAGACAAACATTGTTAAATAATCCACAGCATTGATGCCCGACCTCGGCTGATAGCAATTTGCTTTTGCGTATGTACACAAGATGTGTGTGTGGCGGAGTCAAATGGATTGTCTCCACATGGAACTCTTTATCCGGTCCCAGTTGTTGTAGAGGGCATAGAGACCAGACAGGGTTAACCCAGCCACTCCACCTTTCGCAACACCTCTGAGCCCACCTGCAAGGCAATGATGAACAAACAAACAAAAAAACTTTACGATTGTAGAGCGCCCATAACAAACGTCTCGCAGTGCAGAATTACACACGGTGCGGGAGGGACTGGGCAAGGGAAGGAGAGAAGGGAAGCGATCGTCAGTGTCCCCAAAGGCAATGGGTTGAAAGTTTTCAAGAAACCTTGAAAGCAGTGCGAGTGTGGGGGGGGGGGGGGGGTGGACAAGGCCGAGTTCCATCCCGAGTAGTGGATTACGTCTTTTTCTCAACTGGCATATGCCACCGCCACAAGCACACACGCTCCACCTTTTTTTAAGTCCCATCCTGTCCCCCACTGTGAGCTTTGATTTCATTATCCAGGTAACTTTTGAGTCGCTAAGCAACATCTGTAGTTTTTTTTTAAGTCTACCAAAATCCTTCAATCTTTCACATCTGATGTGCCAAATAGACACATTTTGTCTGGGTCGTCCTATTAATTAAGATGTCTCCTGAACCTGGTCTAGAATTTAACCAATCTCTCCATCCAATGCCACAAACCCACATTTCAACTTTCCGATCCTTCTGTTAAGTTGCAAATTCAGCCAATGCACCTACCTGATGACTGTCAATCACAGAAAGCTGCGCAGTGGGAGTGGGTCACGAGGACCGGAGTTGAGAAACTGGTTTAGGACGTGACTATAGACCCCCTGTACAGATTTTGCTAATCATTTAACACATGCCTGCGGAGGGGGCTGGTAGGACATTTTGAAGTAATTATGCACGGATATTTAAGCCAAACTTGTTAGAGTCGTGCGCAGAAGAAAGCAAAATGAAAAGTGAGCAGAATTATAAAACGACGCCAGAAAGTGCAGTGCAAAAGAGGTCGCACCAGAAAGTGCAGTGTTATAATCCCCTGCCTCCTGTGAATTAATCCCGGTTGGGCTTCCAGTCCACTACGTTTCCTACCAGTAAAACTGACATTGCAAGTGGCACGATGACCACATCCAACTGAAGATAAGGTTTTTACTGGCGGACTTGTAGCTCCTAGGAGCATCCCTGCAAATGAACAACTCGGCCACAATAAAGCAATACAACCTGAGTAAAACCACCCGCCCTTCACAATGTTTTGGTAAAAAGTGGTTTGAGGTGGGATTTTTTTATTGCAAGGTGAGCATTTTCAGATGCCATAAAGGAAAATATAGCCCCCTGACCAAATTACCTGGACCTCGCAAGCTTATGTTGAACTTATTTTGCACCGTACGTAGCCAACATCGTGAATTGGAGGTGCGGGGAAAGGACAACAAACTAAACACAAAAAAACAGTTAAAGAAATTAGATTTCAATCGAGATTTGAAAGTGCATAGTGCCCGTGGCTTCCTAATAGTGGAAAGAAGAGCGTTCCAGAAGGGCATCTCAAAGTGCGCGATGCCGCGAGGCAACTTTGCAAGATCGGACCGTGTCCGTCCGGTGCTTGCCGAGCTGCATTGGCTTAAGGTTTCCAAACGATTGCATTACAAGGTCGCACTCATTACACACAAAGTGCTTGCCACAAATGAACCACAATACCTTGCTGATCTCGTCAAGGAGCATGAACCATCACGCAAACTCCGGTCATCCTCGCAGCGGCTTTTGGCTAACCCTCGAAGATGGTCACCGCATTGCGTGCTTTCAGATGCACCGTCTGGAACGCTCTTCCTTCCGACATTAGGAAGCCACTGGAGCTATGCACTTTTAAATCTAGATTGAAAACTAATTTCTTTAGAACTGCTTTTTGTGTTTTATTTTTGTCCTCACCCCGCACCTCCGATTAGCATGGTTGCCTACGCATGGTGCGAAAGAATATCAACATACAACTCTGAGCGTGGCTAATGCTTGGATGAGCGATCATCAGGGGATGTGAGAGGCTGGTGGGGGGGCAGGGGAGGGGGGGGGATGTGATGCGAGCAACAGAAACCATTGGAGCAAAATCCACTGCGCTGCCGTGTCTCCTCCCCGCCTTCACAAACTCGCACTGAACAGGGCGACCCACGATAAAAACAACTCTGCCACAACAACCTGTACCGCATGGGGAGGGATCCTCATCCAGCAGTGGATTGACAAAGGGATATACATGGCTCGGAAACAAAACATAAAAAAAGTTTCAACCTTGGTATTAAAAATGGCAATAAGCATTGAGCCCTAAAAGTATGTCTGCGAAAACTCTGTGTCGTGAAGGTCAGTCTGCTCCATCAGCTGCTGGGGATTTGATGTTTTTGCCAACTCGGCAGTTTCAGACGCGGTGCAAAGGTTTACCGACGATGTCATCAGCACGTCAGTAAGTGCTGGGGCAGAGGTTGAAATCGGTGAACTAATGCAGAGGCCTGTGTTTACAAAACTTAAAACACAGGACTTGGGTATTTTCTCACCATTTTAAAACAGTTCACGTGGTTAAGTGGCTCAAGGCAAATTGTTCAAGTCAGAACAATGAGCTTAGCTGAGGGCCTTGCTATGAATCATTGCAGCCAATTGAAAAACAACTGAGTTCCTCGAGTGCATTGAGTTCATGGCCTCACCCCAATCACCGCCTGAAGGCTAAACTAAATTTTTTCCACATTCAGCCCAACTGTGAAAGCTAACATATAAACGAGGGGTTGGAGGGTTTTTCCCCTTTTTTTGGCAACAAAACTGAAACCTTTTTACGAGGAATCATGTGTGCATTAACCACAATACTTGTGGTCAAAATGCAAACAAAAAACACTGATAACATATGAATTGTCCTTGAGTTGTACGCATTTGGCGTCCTCTGGTCTAGCACCAATTGAGACGAGGCTCAAAAGAAAGCTGTCTCTGGTGTGAACCAATCAGTTTCAAGGACAATGCATATATTATCAGTGTTTTTTTGTTTGCATTTTTTCCACAAGTATTGTGGTTAATGCACACATGATTCCTTATAAAAAGGTTTCAGTTTTGTTGCCAGCAAAAAGGGGAAACACCCTATTATTATATTTTGGTACTGGCAAAGGAGGTCTAATGATAACGAGGGGTTGGACTTGAAACAATTCCGATTTCAATTCTGGTTTTGGATTTCAACAATGCAGATGTTTAAGGAAAATTATGGATCTTTGTTTAAATTTTAAGTGCTGACAACAGTGACGTCAACCCGATCCCATAGCTACGCCAGTTATGACGGGAAAAGTTCAGTCGTGACATCATCCAAGTCACATCGCCTCCAGTGGCGTCACAATTTCGCATCAATCCCAAGCGATCTTCTCTATCCCAAAGAAACATCAGAAATTTCGAATTTAGACCAGAGTTTTCGTATTTATCCGTAAGTCGGGAACACATCCCTCGTAATGACGGTTGACGGGAGGGGGGGGGGGGGTGGCGGCCGAACCGACGACAGAAAGACGGCGTGTCGCGATTGGTCAACGAAGCCTGCCAACGCGACTCCGGGACCAGTGTCGATTCATTCAAGGGCGCTCTCACCTGGCGCTGTGCCGGCCGCGGGGATTCCGCACACATGTTCTTTGTCTTGCAGCATGACCAATATAGCGCGAGAGGAATTTGTAACACGCCAGAAAAACATTTTTTTCTCTTGCGGACAGATGACCCAATCCCTGCACTGGTATAGCTGGGCGGTGGTGGCTATGCACGTGGCCTGTAATCTAGCACTGTGGAGGCAAGGGGGTTGTTGGACCACCGCACAAATGACAAATGTTTCAATACTCCCTTCCCGTGGGCATCGAGGAGGTGCCATGCCCTGGCTTGCCAGGAGAATGCAATGAGGCAAATTGTGCACTAATATCACCTGTCCCTTCTGTATGGGATAGAGTGTTTCCCCCTTGCATGCGTGGGATTCCTCCAGGTGCTCCGGTTTCCTCAGACGTGTACAGACATCCACTAAGTGTCTGAAAACATCTTCATATATACAGAACTGCAGAGCAGTTGTTGGCACCGGTTTACCGCCTGGCAGGTTTTCCAGCTTGGTCTGTGGTTTCTCGGCGATTGTGAGATGCAATTTTCATGAACGACGCAAAAAAACAACAAATAATTACGATGTTTTTGTTGTTATTGTTGCAAATATGGACTTACTGGTGGACTTGTAAAGCATGCCCGTGAGCGATCCAGCCACCATCGTGTTGAGGTCATCCTCCGCTCCTCTCCCGTACTCGATCGCCACCCCAAAAGCACTGTACATCAGGGCTGCGGGGGACGGGAAGGAATTGTTACCGAAACGTCAAAAGTGATTTCCAGATCAAAATGAGCAGCGCGGACGATGCTCATCTCTGACTTGTAGCCATGAGCCACTGTGGAAATTCCCCCTGTACATGGGGTGAGTCAATAATCGAATCAATACGCATGGCTCGGGTGAGCCTCCCTAAAACACAAGTGCAATTGACTTCCCCACAAAGTGGTACTATTAGTATCGCACCCCAAAGGGAGTTAAAACCCAACCATGATTTGAAATTGCTCACTCTCTCCTGCTGAGCCACCTGACCACACCACGGCTGCATTCAAGAGGAAGGATATGTAACTGAAGTTTTTCAAAATGACGTTTCATACATCGCCGGAAAATATACGGTTGACATTTTTTCC